GCACCCCACGTTTGAAAATTTATGTATTAAAAATTTGGAAGGACAAAACCTTCTAGGACATTGTCTTTAGTCAACAGGCTCTTAAGAAAATATTTTCAATCAATTATAATTGAACTCTGAAATATAGAGGCTTGGCTGCAACTTTGCTTATAGAAGAGATGAGGGGTTGGAAGTCTGACAAATTAAATGAGAAAACCATTTCTCCCCACACCAGCAGTTCCAATGTTTCAGATTTCAAGCCATTATATCTAGAGAGACACTTAGTGACATGATAGATTTGGAAATTGTTTTGTTCAGGAGAAGAAAAGGACAGTGCAGTAGTTGCTTTGAGTTCCAGCTCCAAGTTCTTCCAGAACAGCAGCAATGGCAGTTGGCACAGCCTGGGACATGGTGACGCAGATAAACAAGGTCAAGCCTGGAATTATCCAATGGGTGCATTAACTCTGTCAGTCTGCCAGCAGTTCAAACAAATATTTCCTGATTAAGTTTTATTACTTCTTGAGTAAACAATTTGGAGGTCTTGGTCATCAGATTTGACTGAAGCAAAAAAGCAGTTCATTTTGTATATGAAGCCTGTATTCTTTCTTTTTTTTCCTGCGCTTTCCAACAATTGTTCAGACACCCATTGTCCTAGCTATTTGGCTTCTCCTTGGGATCAATTAAATGTAAAAGGTGTTACAATTATATATTTTTATATATATTATTGGCGTGCTATTAGTATACTATTATGTATTTAGGCATATTAGTATACTACTGGTATACTATACACTATGCTAGTATAGTATACTATTATACTATACTACTAGATATATTAGTATACTATTAGTATTAATATATTGTCATATATTTAGGTGTTACTATTCCCGATGGGTGTTGGAATGCTTAACAGAAGGGTTCTCAACTCTGACCGCAATTAGGATCACCAGGAAGATTTAAATAAAACAAAATACCAAACAAAGACCATGATGATAAGACAGACCCCTAAACATTCTGGTTTAGTATGTTCTGAGTCAGGACCTCAGCATCAGGATTTCTTGTAAAATCTTCCCAGGTGATTACAATGGGCAGCCAGGTAAGAACACTTGTTCTAACCTATAGAGAATTCCTAACCTCAAGTCCAGGCACTTCTTGGGGTGGAGGGGCTCTGAAGAACCTTTGCAGGGTTCTTTAAATCACCTCCAAAATGATCTTTTTCTTTGACTTAAAAATTCATCTTAAAGAAATTATGACTAAGTGTGCTATTAAAGTATTATTTCACTCAAAACAATTTTAAAGTATTTGCCAGCATGGGAGGCTGTTGTGCATAAAAGGGTAAAAAAGTCCAATGATTGTAGTTGTCAAGCTATGACATCTAAAATATTTTTCCCCATTGACAGTGTGGATTTCTAGAGAGCCCAGACCTTGATTTGTAAGTAATAGTTTCTACTAAAGGGAAGCAGGGCTGCTTAGAGAAAGGAGCCGTTTCAGGCCTGGTGCATGGGCAAACATCTGTTTGCCCTCAGGCATGAAAGCACTCAAAGTGGAATGGGGATGTTTCAAAAGGGCTCCGAAGCCAGAATGAAGGAGCTCACATTGGCTAAATTTAGGACAACTGGAGAAGCAGAAGGAATAATGACTATACAGTGTTTGTAACAAATAAATAAAATCCCTGGTCCATATGACACTCAAACTTAAACAAAAAGAAGGAAAAGAACAGGGGAAAAAAAGAAATTCACTTGCCACTACCGGAGGTGATTACTGATCACAAGGCTTTATTCTGGGAGGACAGGAAGAGACAGTAACTCTGACCTTACAGAAGGAACGGAGGCTCATCTCCAGGTGATGAAAGAAAGCTCTTCTTTCTAGAGATGTTACCTAATAAAGAAGAAATGGAGAAATGGTCAGCTATGCCTTTAGTATGACCTGCCATGGGATCACTTTGTGTTGCACTATCACCATCAAAGAATTCAAAGAATACCTTTTATAATCCCCTTTTTGACATACAGAGACCACTGATAACTTCAGAATGAAATCTGCAAAGTAAAACTTCCACTAGAAAAACAATCTCAATATTCTTTATAGAGATGGAACTCTGTGATGCTTTGCAGAACATCTATACCTCCAGCTTTGGGGAATAAATGTATGTGCTTTGGGGCTCCTGGGTGGCTCAGTGGGTTAAGCCTCTGCTTTCGGCTCAGGTCATGATCTCAGGGTCCTGGGATTGAGCCCTGCATCGAGCTCTCTGCTCAGCGGGGAGCCTGCTTCCCCCTCTCTCTCTGCCTGCCTCTCTGCCTACTTGTGATCTCTCTCTCTCTGTCAAATAAATAAATAAAATCTTGAAAAAAAAAAAGAAAAAGAAATGTATATGCTTCATGGCTTTCTACCTAGGCAAACATTGGCGGAAACTGCCAATTTTCCTGCATTAAGACTGGTGGCCCATTTTCATGGAAGACTTCCACTTCAGGACCTCAAGTCACCACTTTTTGAGGAGTTAGTTTGAAACAAGAAGGGCATCAGAAAATAATGCAATTTTCTTATATACAGAAATGTGCTGGATTTCTAGAAGATGGGTCTTCAGCCCCTGAATGACCTTCAGGAAAACAAATATGTTGCAAGTAAAGGAATATTTACTTAAGACAAGTGGACATGGATGACTTTACTCATGGCTTATTGGTGGATACTTTTGATCAAATCAATGAAGTCATTCTTTCCACTCAAAGTCTTACATTCTATTAGGAAAGCTGCTAAGCCTCTCTTCCCACAACTGCTCTTCTGGAAAAGAAGACAGGAAGAGGCAATCACATTAACTTTTCAATGCTAGAAAAAATACTTCTTTAGGTTGAAATAGAGAGTGATTTTTCTTTTTCAATTTTTCTGCAGGCAAAAATCTCTAGGCACCTGGAACCCTATAGAATCCTTTTGATGGTTATTTCTGCTCCAGTGATCTTGAAATTAAATGTGTGTTCCTGACCCTTAACTTGCTGACATCAAGCATGCAGGCAATGCCAAAAATGACCTCACAAAGGAATGGATGCTACATGGATTAACCCAAAAGAGTCCTGGAAAGATCTGACTCAAGCCTGCCCTTGTCTCAAAAAGCGTGCGATGGGAGCTCTGATTCTATTACTGCGTTAGTAAGCTATGTTTGTGAATAAGAATTTTTCATCACTTGCCAACCAAATCAAAAGACAGAAACCACTGAATGTCAAAGATGGCATTTGTGTTTTATCACATAGCGCTCCACAGTTTCATCCTTTCATTCAAGCTCAATAGCAACAGCTTTGCCATTAAATTCACTTTGAGTAGATGAAAGCAGATCTTTTATTTGTCTGTATGGAAAACTTCACATTTGCAAATCTTTGTAATAGTTTTGCCCCTTTTTTGAAAAACGGCCATTAATTGCCAGAAAAATGGCAGTGAAGTACAAGCATAAAGAGTGTTTTTATATTCTGCACGAGAGTAAAAAATAAATTTCCTTTGTTGCAAATGGTGTGAAACATGATTTTTCCTGTGATGCATTCCACTACTTATCTTGGTTTCTCAACGTGACACTAAAACCTGAGATGGCAAGGAACTCTGCTAAAGGATGCAGCTCCAACTAGATTTCCAGGCATTGGTCAGTAGCCGGAACAGGATACATCAAGTACCCAGCTCTTTCCAGTGGCCTAAAACCTTACCATTAAGGGGGTCTCCTCCATCATCTCTTGCACAGTGTACTTCAAGAAATTAACAAAGAAATAATATGGAAAGCCAAAAGCTGATCATTAAAAAAAATCCAAATGTAACCCCTTGCAAAAGTGACTTAGAAATATTATGTTTGGGGCACCTGGGTGGCTCAGTCAGTTAAGCGTCTGCCTTTGGCTCAGGTCAGATCCTGGGGTCCTGGGATTGAGCCCCACATCGGGCTCCCTGCTCAGTGGGGAGTCTGCTTTTCCCTTTCCCTCTGCCCCTCCTCCCGCTTGTGTGCTCTCTCAAATAAATAAATCAAATCTTTAAAAAAAAAAAAGATTTAGGGATGTCTGGGTGGCTCAGTCAGTTGGGCATCTGTCTTCAGCTCAGGTTATGATTCCAAGGTTGTGGGATCGAGCCCCATGTCAGGCTCCCTGCTCAGCAAACAGCCTGCTTCTCCCTCTCCCCACTCCTCGTGCTCTCCCTCTCTCATTATCTCTCTATCTCAAATAAATAAAATCTTTAAAAAAAAGATGAAGAAAAAAAAAAGCCAAGAGGCTGATAATGTTCTTTTGGAAGTAATAAGAGAAATTGGTAATGTGATTAAGTACAAGATAAATATATGAAAAACCTAGAATAATTTTATCTGTAATAGCAATGACCAGTTAGGAGTAGAAATGGAAAAAAAAATATTCCATTGGTATTAGCCAAATCAAACCAAATAAACAAAAGCCCACACACAAGAGGGGCATGGGACCTGTATTCAGAAAACTATCAAAACATGAACTAATAGGGAAATATTTCCTCATTCTGTGTGGGCAGTCTTAATATTAAGAAGGCCAGTCATTTCCCAATGGTTACAATACTTTAATGCAAGTGCAATCGTAATACCAATGTTTTGAAACCAGGCAAAATGAACATAACATGTATATGGAAGGCTAAGTATCTGAGAATAGCCAATGGTGTTAAAGGAAGACGTGTGTACGCATGTATGGGCAAGTGCACAGGCGGACATGCAGAGCATGGGTATCATCTTGCCTTGCTAAACATCAAAATTTATTACAAAGCTACTCTGATAAAATGACATCCTGTCCATTAGCCTAAAACATTTTATATTTTAATGTCTATGGGGCAATACTGAAAGAATTGAAGAACACTTGGTTCCTAGTAAACAAGACAACATAATTATTTTCATTTACTTATTCCAGTAGAGAATACTACCAAGATACATCACAGCATATATTACTAGATCAATGAAATAAAATAGAGACAACAGGAACAAATCCAAAGATAGGTAGTAGCTTGATACATAACCAAGTTGGCATTTCAACTCAAAGTAATGTATGACTATGTGAATAAATACCTTTGGCACAATTTACTTTCCACCTGAAATAAAGTTGAAAACAATAAAGTTCCATACTTATTTTTTTAATTATGTGAGAAAATACTGAAAGTTGAAAAGCAACTTGTAGACTGGAGCAAAATAATTGGCATTGTATGTGACAGGGCAGGTGTCATTTCCCCTAATATTCAAATTCTTCCTATTAATTCGTAAGAAAGACAAATAACCCAGAAAAAAGAATGGGCAAAGATATGAACAGGGTAATTGCAGACAAAATGCAATCATCAACAAACACTTGAAAATATACATAACCCTATTAGTAGTACAGAAATGTAAGTTAAGCAAGATGGTGTTTCAAGTTCAGATTATCAATTATTAAGATCAACAGAATCTGATGTTATTTAGGGTGGAGTTGAAACTGGCATACATCACTGATGAGAATGTTCATTGCTACAATCTTTTGTGAAATTAATCTGAAAATAGCTACTGAAAATTGAAATATCCATATATCTAAAGGGTTTCACTTAGAAGAATGTAGCCCATAGAAATAAAAAGCAATATATAAGAATATATTGTAAGAATCTTAATTATGGCATTATTTGTAGTGTAAAAAAATCCACCTCTAAATGCCCTGAATGTACATTGTAAGGAACAGTTGAGTAAATTGCTATACCTATAGCATGTATTATTATGCAATTAGTAGAAAGGGTGTTAGGTGTACATTATTGCTTTGGAGATATCCACGATACATTACTAAGTGAAAAAACACATTGTACAATAATGTGTGTGATGTAAAGCTATTTGTAAATAACAAAAAATCCCAAACTCTCCTTGCGTGTATGTGTGTGTATATGTATAACCCATGATCACTAAGTAATCATGTTTATATATATATAAACATGAGCATAGAGACACAGAAGGTTGCACAGCAAAAGGTTACATTTATCTTGGGGGGCAGGAGTAGAGGGCAGATTGTTACATTTCTTAAATGTTTCTGTATTATTTGACTTGTTATATCATGTCACTTTTGTTATTTAAAAAAATCTAATGGGGGGCATCTAGGTGACTGTGTTGGTTAACTATCTGACTTGATTTCAGCTCAGGTCATGATCTCAAGGTTGTGAGATCGAGCCCCGTGACCAGTTCTGTGCTGGGCGCGGAGTCTGCTTAAGAGTCTCTTTTTCTTTCTCCCTCTGCCCATCCCCCTCTAAAATAATCTAAAACAGTTTAAACAAAACACCAATAGGGAAAGTGTTCCAAATATTAGCACTGAATCACTTTACCTGGACAGTTCTAGGACTGCTTCCCAAAAACTGCTTCCCAAAACCAAAATACTATTAGCATTAGTCACTGAGTCCCTGGGAATATGATGACAGAGACTCTAGAATTCCCCAGCTATCTTCAAACAAACGGAAAGACTCAGAGAAGTGACTCTTTAGCATTTGTTTTTTAGTAAATTCCATTGCATCTTAAGTATAAATATCTAAATTTCCTATGAATTAAAATTAGTGGTGAGTGACTCTTTTGAAACAACTAAGCAGATTTGAACAAGTAAAATATAGATAATAGAAGGATGCTCCCACATTCTAACAAAAACTTACTCTAAAATATTCAAAGACTAAGCATTAAAATTATTTGGAAAGAACTTAAATTTCTACTTACAAATGACAAGTTAATGTACAATGAAAAATTGTGTTATGATGAAAAATTACATTTAGGAAGACCTCATGAAAATTTAGAAAACACTAGGGAGAGATAGTATATAATCTTTAAAAGGTACAATACAGGGGCGCCTGGGTGGCTCAGTGGGTTAAAGCCTCTGCTTCGGCTCAGGTCATGATCCCAGGGTCCTGGGATCGAGCCCCACAAGGGGCTCTCTGCTCAGTGAGGAGCCTGCTTCTCCCTCTCTCTCTGCCTGCCTTTCTGTCTACTTGTGATCTGTGTCTGTCAAATAAATAAAATCTTTAAAAAAATAAAAAATAAAAAATAAATAAAAATAAATAAAAAGTACAATACAGGGACGCCTGAGTGGCTCATTGGGTTAAGTCTCTGCTGTCAGCTGAGGTCATGGTCTTGGGTCATGGGATTGAGCCCTGAGTTGGGCTCTCTGCTCAGTGGGGAGCCTGCTTCCCCCTCTCTCTCTGCCTACTTGTGATCTCTCTCTCTGTGTCAAATAAATAAAATAAAATAAAAATTAAAATAAAAATTAAAAGCACAATACAAAATTCTGTATGCTTATGATCACAACCAAGGAAAATGACAGCAACAATAATACAACTTTTGTTTAGAAAAAAGACCAAAAGGAAATAGACTAACATGTCAATAAGTGATAGTCTTTGGAAGTCGTGTAATATGGGATTTTCTGTCTCTTCTTCTATTTTCTATATTTTCCAAATATTCAGAAATAATTGTTATTATACACCATTTTATTTTTATAAATGTATGAAAGCTTTATTTTTAAGTATTCATGTATGTGTCTTTATGTACTATTACATCTAGCTTATTTTATACTTAAATAATACTATTAGTAGTAAATGATTACTAGTTGCTAGTACTACAAGAATAAAATACTAATACAACTATGTACTAGTAATTATATAGGGATAAAGTGTTATATAACACTATGAACAGAGTATGAAATTCAGATAGTAGATGTTTGATTTATCATAACAAGTTCTATATGATGGGGCGCCTGGGTGACTCAGTTGTTAAGCGTCTCCCTTTAGCTCAGGTCATGATCCTAGGGTCCTGGGATCGAGCCCTATATAGGGCTCCCTGCTTGGCCAGAAGCCTGTTTCTCCCTCTCCCACTCCCCCGCTGTGTTCCCTCTCTTCCTGTGTCTCTGTCTGTCAAATAAATAAATAAAATCTTAAAAAAAAAAAATCTCCATATGATATGTATAATGACTTTATTTATAATAATAATTATTACATATAGTACTCTACTCCTTATTACTGGTAATAGTTATTTTGTAAATAATAATTATTGAGGGATAAATAAAGAGCTAAATATTATAAGGCAATAGCTAATATTTAGACAGTTGATTTAAACCTGTAATTGTATAAGAGATTTACTTCCTAGAGCTCAAGGCTGAAACCTCAGACATAATTTGCTTCAACTCTAAAATATCATGCTTCATTAGCAGTGTGGAATTTCAGCCCCCATTCACTATGCCTGCAGGTCCTCTGTATGACATTCCTGTGCCTTAGCTTAAAGCAGTTTCTGTCAATAGTGTTCAAGACTTTTGAAAAAGTCATATTAATAGTCAATAAAGAAGGGCTATTATGTCAATCCAGCGTGACACACCCCACCACCACAGGTCATCACAGAGAAGCTATATGGCACTTAATAACGGCCACGATACAGGAAACTGTTGGGGGAAACAGACGTTTGTCTCATGCAATTTTACTAGACCCTCACTTAGCATCCCAGAGCCTTTGTCCTCCAAACAGTCAACAGATATCATGTCTCTAAGTGATCATGCTGGTTAGAGGAATAATGATACATCAGTAAAGAATATTCCTATTTCTGGGCACCTGGCTGGCTCAGTCAGAGGAGCATGTGACTCTTGATCTCGGGGTCATGAGTTCAAGCCCCATGTTGGGTGTAGAGATTACTTAAATAAATAAAACTTAAAAAAAAAAAAGAATATTCCTATTTCTGACTCCTCCCTTCTGCACCTAGTTGAATGTTGGTGCTGCCCTCCTCATGTCCATTTGCCAACCAGCAAACTTGGTAGCGTTAAAGAAATGGGCGAGCTAATGACGCCAAGGATCCCAGTCCCATACCAATAACTCGCCCTAAATGTCCCTTTTTTTGGTGAGGATCCTCTACTCACCAGAATAAGAGACACTGATATTTATATGATGTTTTGACTGTCATTAGCTTCCAAGAAAGAGTTTCCACCCTGAGTCAACAGGAAACCCAGGAAAGTTATCGAGTCCAAAGGAAACCATTTTTTCAGCATCCACTATGCACCAGGCTCTCGGGGTTTTAAGGCATAGAAACCCATTCACACGAGGGTAGGTACGATGGGGAGGGAGGTGGCGATAATTCAGGGCATCAGGGAAATCTCCCAGAATGGAAGGGCCATCGGTGTGCACGAGTCTGGAAACAGAATCAGTTCTAACAAAGCCTTAAACCCGTCGTCGGGGGAGCCTGTTCACTGACTCTGCCTGAGCCTCACCCGTTTCTCACTCACGTTGTCTCCAGGTCTCACGCTCTCCCTCGCCTCCCTCCTTCTGCATCCTTATCTCCTGCTTGGCCAATTTAGCTGTCTCAGCCTTGCTCGAAATGACCTTTCAGCCTTCCATGGATTAAAATTTCCCCTGGGTCCCTTAATTCAGATTCTAGACAGAGGGAATGTGATCCTTGAATCCATGGCTAAATACAGGCATGAATGAGTCGATCAATAAATTCAGCATTCCTCTCCTTTGAGTTAGAACCTTTATAAACAATCTGCTGAACTCACATATTTGCCCAAAACATCCACAGGTAGAAATTTGCAAAGAGGACTCTAGGTAAGCATGTTAAGCCATGCGTTTCATCAGGAAGGAAATTCTGTATGTAATATTTTGATGTTTTTGTTGTGTTTACCCTCCCAAACCATACCTACCAAATAGCATCATGTTGAGTAATTTCCATTAAAATGTAACAAAACTTGTATCTTTTTAAAAATATTTTATTTATTTGTCAGAGAAAACACACAGCTGGGGGAGCAGAAGGCAGAGCAGGCAGAGGGAGAAGCAGGCCCCTCGCTGAGCAAGGAGCCCAACGTGGGACTTGATCCCAGGACCTTGGGATCATGACCTGAGCCAAAGGCAGACACTCAACCACCGAGGCATCCCCAAAATCTTGTATCTTATAAGTTAGGCACTTGTCAAGTACTTTATTAATGATTTCATTTAATCTTTACAATACCTAAAGAACAGGTATAATTATTGGGCCCCTGAATGAAAAAAATTTGGGCTCAGAGGGTTTAGAAATCATCTTTACACTGCCCAGCAGAGGAAGGATCCCCATAGGGTCTCTCACCAAAGCGCTATGACTCCCCCTTCTCCTATTAAAAAAAATATTTGGCAGAACACAGGCAGAATCTATCTGAATTCATCATTCAAATCTTTCCATTCTAATCAACTGCAACACAAATCTATTTTGCCAACAACTTCCCTTTCTTTCTCTGAATAGCGCAGGCAAAAATACCAATATTCAAAGCCTACTTTGTACTATTAGGTGAAAAAAGACTTTTAAGCCCTGTGTTATATAAATCTACTTAATACAGACATTTTGCTAAACTTTTAGCAGTTAAGCATTGTGAAGAGTCAGCAGTTACCTTGAAAATATAGTAGAGCTGGCAAAATGAAAAGCTGACATTTGTCATCTTTAAAGTTTCTTTTCAGCGCTTGAGATGTTTTAAACACTGGCAATTGATTCGGAACTCTGCATTTTGGAGGATGTGCATGTCAGCCCCACACTGTTATTGGTCAGCGTTAGTGGGACAGAGCTGAAGTTATTCCTTATTCACAGTGAAGGTATCTTGTGGAATTGTTCCTGACTTGCAAAGTTTAAAATAGCATTTCCAGATTCCAACTCTAATTGCCCTATCATTTAAAAATCATTAGCCACTACTTTAAAATGGACATAAATTCACATAATTTAAAAAGCCAAATCCAATATGTAATGTTTAATGGGTACTTTCCTTTGGACGGTGATTATTATATATTTTGGTGCTCTCACGTATATACTACTCTGCTGTTGTTGCCAATAAACTGCCATGTCACTGCATATCCAGTTCTATGTTACTGCAAACTAGGACGCCTCTGGCCGTATTACATGAGATCACAGCAGCTGTCCTTCAGTGCATCTGCTTGTCTCCATATAGCATTTCTACCCATCATAGCTGGAAGACTGTCTTTCCAGTCATCTAAATCTCCAACAAAGAAAGATGTGTCTTTGTTATCTACACAATGGCCTCAATTCTCCCTTGTCCTCTGGGTACGAATGCTGCCTGATACAGCTTTGCCTCATTTGGAATTCCACCTTGCATTTCTTCAGTGAGTTGAGCTCTAGATGCAGCACAGGGGTGGGTGGAAGGTTCTAGGAAGCCGTATTTCAGTTCTCCTTTCATTCTGTTTTTTTTTTGCCCTGCTCGGATCTTGACTCTAGGGTCATATTCAGGTCCACCCTCTCATATCATCATGGCATCTTACTCCACTAAAGTTTTCTTCTCTCTCATAAAGACAGTTTCATTGGCCAATATTACCTGGGCATGAACCTGGCCCTAATAACTTCCCTAGGCTTACAGGGTTTTTATTAACCTTGTTTAAATTTCAAATATACCTTGAGTTTTGTAGAGCTCTTTCAAAGAGAAATCAAAGGCAAATGCGGCTTTGAGATCTGAATACAGGGCAAAAATTTTTGCAAAATTGTCCCTGGCGTTTCTCCCTCCCTTCCTTCTTTCCTTTCTTCCTTCCTGCCTTCCTCCCTTTTAACCTTTTGATCCCCTTCTCCTATTAAAAAAATATTTGGCAGAACACAGGCAGAATCTATCTGAATTCATCATTCAAATCTTTCCATTCTAATCAACTGCAACACAAATCTATTTTGCCAACAACTTCCCTTTCTTTCTCTGAATAGCGCAGGCAAAAATACCAATATTCAACCCACAAAGCACAAAAAGAGAAATCTTCTTAAAGATTAATTGGCTCAGTAGAAAAAGATATAGGGAGGAAAATAATATTAGCTGATAACATTTCCCCTAGGTTAGGTGTTTCTAGCAACCTGCTAAGGAGAGAAAATCAGAGCTGGAGGACCAGTATACAGAGCTGGTATACAGAAGGCTCTGTGGCTCCTTGCTGCTGTGCCTATCACAAGCTTTCTAGAGATGGAAATTTCACTTAGAGCAATTAATTAAAACAATAATTGAAATAACAAGACAAGCTATATCTCTTGTTCCTGGCTCCCTTGCAAATTGCACTACATGAGGCAGTGGTTCTCTGCATCTGCCTCAAAGCGCTATGACTCCCCCACATACGTCAGTTATCCTATAAATTAGGAACCAGCCATAAGCATTAAGCACTACATTGTTATTCCTTATTTTGATTAATTCTCTTCCTCCAGAGCACATGTCAAGATGATGGCATCTGTTCTGAAGAGTTTCCATCTGGAGAGCTACAGTTCTCGTTTCTTTCCATCTGCGTATATACAATTCATTGTCATGAAATGGGTTTTAAAAATAGTAATAAATATTTGACTTAATTAATCCGCAGAAAATGTCAGTCTTTTAAAACTTCAAACTGAGGAAAGGAAATGTGAGATTAGTATAAGTAAAGCCGTTCCATCCTTAAAAAAAAAAAAATCACATGTCTAATACTGTCAGTATGGTTTGGATTTGTAGCAATAATTGATTAATACAGTCTGCATATACTGCCCTTCCCAGAGTGGGATCCTATTACAATGGGTGTTCAATAATGTACATTGTAATTAATGATTTTTTTCTCTGAAACCGAAATGCCAATATGATTGTAGTGCATTTGCTGAGAACAGAGTTCATCAGAGCCTCTCAAGAAGAGAACTAAAAAGACAACAGCCCGTTTACCGCAAAAGACTTGTGGGTTCGTTAAACCTGCTCCCTTGGAACATTCAGTCTTAGGTAGAGAGAAGAGTTTCTGGACTGAGCCTCAATTTCTCCATCTGCAAAATGAGCATTCAAGGAGACATTTTCTGTCAGGTTCTAACACAAGGAGTTCTCTTTCCTAATGAGAACTTAATTGTTTTATATTCAAACACTGTGGAAGTTTATCTTTATACAATCCTTCAGGTGAAACGTGTCATAAACTTCCTAGCTTTTCTACACATCTATAAATTTTTAAATGAGGACAGAATGGAAAATCCTTACTTTTTTTTTTTTTTTTTTGATTCACCATGGCAGCTACATGCAGAGCATGAATTTTTTATTCTCTTCTCTGTGGAAATCCCATTAAAATAATAGTACAGGAATAAAAACAGGAATAAAAGCGAGCTATTCAGAGGGTGACCTTGCAGATGAGAGAGTTAGGCAAATTTCTGGAAGAAAGACAGCAACAGATAGAAGTTTAATAGCTGAGGAGGTGGCAGTTTAGAATATTCTGGGAGGTAGCTGCGGTGGAGAAGGGAACCATTCTCAACACAGCTTCAGGGTGGTTTTGGGTTCAGGTATGACCAGACATGTATGAGAGAGGAGCTAAAAATATAGGGATTGGGGTGTCTGGGTGGCACAGTCAGTTAAGTGTCTGACTTCAGCGCAGGTCCTGATCTTGGGGTCCTGGGATCAATTCCTACATGGGGCTCCCTGCTCAATGGGGAGTCTGCTTCTCTCTCTCCTTCTCCCCCTCCCCCAGCACATTCTCTCTCTCCCTCCTTTAAATAAATAAAATATTAAAACAACAAAAGACATAGTACTCATAGGAAGTACTTACATAAGGGGACCCTCAGAAAGCAAGAACGAAACTTCAGGTCATAGGCTAAGGCCTGGGGTATGTAATATATAGCACGGTGACTATAGTTTACAACATCGTATTGTGTAATTTGCAAGTTGCTAAGAGAGTCAATCTTTAAAGAGATCATCACAAGAAAAAAAATTATAAGTATGCAGTGATAGATGTTAACTGAACTTATCATGGTGCTCATTCCAGAAGGCATACATATGTCAAATCATTCTGTTGTACACGGTAAACTAGTATAGCATTATATATCAATTATATCTCAGCCTAAAAAAGGAAACAAGAACCAGCTCTTTGAAACAAGAAAATCTGGTAATGATTTAAATAATTTAAATAATTAAAAAATAATAATTTTAAAAACAATTGAAAATCAAAGGAATAATTGGAAGATAGAGTCAAAGGATTCCCCTCCCAAGGAAATAACAATAAAAACAAAACCTCAAAGAAACAGAAAATAGGAGGAAAAAAGACACAGAGGATCAATCCATTCCACTAATAAAAAAATCTAATAAGGGGGAACTTCGCGAGCCAAGGAGACTAAATGAAAAAGGGAATATCTGAAGTTTTATTTCCATTATATTATTCTTTATGTCCCTTCATGTCTTAAATATGTCCTAATTTTTAAAGACCCAGACTCTGATATATCACTGTGAAATCTGGGGACACCAAGAATAAAAGAATATTCTAAATTTTTCAGAGAGCAACAACAGGTCACCCACAGGGAAAAATAGCTGCCTTCTCAGCAGCTAATTTCTGAGGAAAAATAGTTTTGAATCAAGGGTGCCATACAAACTCTATCAAGTGAGAACGGGAAATGGTCATTTTCCTTTTATGAGATGCAAGAACTCACAGAGTTTAGATCGCACTATTTCTGAAGAATTTACCTGAAGGTGAACACCAAGACAGAGGATGATGAAGATCTAAGAAACCATGTCACTAACCAGGCATCTAATGAAAGCATACTTCAAGGTGACCCTTGAGCAGCTATTCTGAAAAAAAAAAAAAAAATCAGTCCATGTTAGAATGTGAAACCAGACCACTCCAAGGAGACACTCTCCAAGAGAGGGGAGAAGGAGGAGAAAAAATTCAATCAACAGAATCAATAAGATACACAAATAACAGCGAATAAGGCCCATTATTTTCCATTCACCAACAAGAATAAGAGAGAAAGCAATCAGGAAGTAGGGAAAGAAGTCAATTAAAATTCACAGTTCAGGGGCGCCTGCATGGCTCAGTTGGTTAAATGTCTGTTTTCTGCTCAGGTCATGATCTTAGGGTCCTGGGATCAAGGTGTGTCCGGCCCCCTGCTCAGTGGGGCGTCTGCCTCTCCCTCTCTCTCTACCTACTGCTCCCACTGCTTGTGCTCTCTCTCAAATAAATTCTTAAAAAAAAAAAAATCACAATTCAAATATACAGCTACCAAACTGGAGTGTGGTTCTGAACAGGATATAAGAAAGAAGACATTCGACCTTGATGCCTAGAACATTTTCCTTTGGGGAGGTTCAAGTTTCATGACAAGGAAACCACAAAGAGGTATGTTTGAAGCACATGACAGGGCTCTGTGATAAACCACTCATGACTCCTAAGAGTAAACAGTATTTTTTTTCTATTTCAACACATAGAAGCAACCTATAGACAAAGTTAATTATGATTACAACAGAATATAAATTTATCAACACTGATATCATAAAGGTTAAAAAACAGTGAACAGAGGTCAGGGAGGGAAGAAATGTGGAAGAAAGGGCAAGGGTGTTAATATTCTCATCATAAAAGGAGCAATCATGAGAGCCTTTGAAAACCAGTGGAATAAGACATAGTTTTTAGCATATTATTTACCGTTACAAAGAAGTTAAAAACAGAATTACAAATATACAAATTGCAACAATGCAGGAACTTAAATCCTCACCCACAATAGCAGAAAATCAATATTTAATATCCAAAGTTGACAGATCAAGAAATGGCGATATAAGAATGTAATTTAGAGATGCATTAGGTAACCGCTAACAGAACTTACAGTGTAAATGATTAATGGTGGCTGCTTCGGGAGAGATAGGCTGGGAGTGAGGAGCACCGATGTAGGGTCTTTTTTCATTATAAGTTGTTCTGAGCTGCTTGAATTTTTTAGCTACGTGCTCTACGGCTTGGATTAAAAAAATACATTTTAAAAGTCTAAATTATGGTATTTTACTCCATTTACAGAAAATAATTTAACAGGGACTCTTAAAAACTCTAGGCCTCTACTAAGTACCTACTCTCCACAGCTGTAATGAAATAAAACTGAGGTTCAAAATCATGTAGATATGCTTTTTTTAAAAGATTTTATTTATTTACTTGACAGAGATCACAAGTAGGCAGAGAGGCAGGGGGAGGGTTGGGAAGCAGGCTCCCTGGTGAGCAGAGAGCCCAATGTGGGGCTCGATTCCAGGCCTCCGGGACCATGACCTGAGCTGAAGGCAGAGGCTTTAACCCATTAAGCCATCCAGGCACCCCTGTAGATATGTTTTGAGATACAGATATGCCTTTGTGAATGAAAAATAATACCATTTTCCAGACAGTTTCAATGTTGAGTTTCATCTTTTTATTTAAAAAAAAATTATTTATTTACTTGACAGAGAGATAGAGCAAGAGAGCCCAAGCCGGGGAAATGGCAGAAGGAGAAGCAGACTCTCCACTGAGCAGGGAGCCCCACGTGGGGCTCAATCCTATATGACATGAGCCAAAAGCAGACGATTAATTGACTGAGCCACCCAGGTGCCCCCTGATTTTAATTTTTAAAATTTTTGATTGAAAACATATGATGAAGACAATGGCCCCTCCCTATCCAAATATTTAATTAAACTAGATCTTTTTTCCCCAACTTTTTTTTTTAAGATTTTATTTATTTATTGGACAGACAGAGATCACAAGTAGGCAGAGAGGCAGGCAGAGAGAGAGGAGGAAGCAGGATCCCCGTTGAGCAGAGAGCCCGATGTGGGGCTCGATCCCAGGACCCTGAGATCATGACCCGAGCAGAGGCTTTAACCCACTGAGCCACCCAGGCACTCCTCCCCCACAACTTCTTGTGAATTTACATGGTCCTCAAAGTTTGTCAAAATCAAAGAAAATATTTCACTCTGATTCCTAAGAGAGGCAATAAAGAGAATGGAGGTGGGGGAAACTGCACTTTGTTTATTTATTTATTAAATAGGGAAGACTTCATGAATTTGCGTGTCAGCTGCCACAAGGGCCATGCTAATCTTCTCTGTATCATTCCAGAAATCTGCACTTTAAAAAATTTTTTAAATTATTGTGCAAATACACAGTTTAGAATTTTTCAATGTGATATCCTTATTTTTAAATTAAGAAAAAAATCCCTGTATAATTAATATACAGAGTTATATTAGTTTCAGGTGTCGCAATATCTTAGTTTTTCAAAGGAAGAGGAGTCCTACGTCTGTTTTTGTTTTTGTTTTGTAATGGATTAAAAAGTAGTTTGCAAGTTGAAGGTTTCTTCGTACTTCAAATAGGCCGATCAGAATGTAACCTCATGATACTTATCACAGGGTGGGTTTTCCAGAAGCAGATACTGAAATGAAGGTTGGGGTTCAAGATGTTTACTGGGGATCAATAGTGGTGAAAGCTTGTGGGAAGAACTGGGCCGAGGGGAAAAGGAGCTGCAGGCCTCATAAAGATCCTGGACTGGTGGGGAGCTACAGAGCACGCAATGCCTAGGAAAGTTGTCCCTCAGTGGGCTGAGCTAGCTGGGTCTCCATATTCCACCTCTAGACACAGGCTGTCTAGGGCGGCATGGTCTTAGGCCCAGCTGCTGTTTGCGGCCCAGGGAGGCCCTGAAGGAGACATCACCTGGGAGCTGTGTGGTGATGGACCTCTCCATAGCTCAATGGGGAACCTTCCTTGAGCGGGATATAGGTGGCCCATCTCCGGGTCTGCCTTCCCACTAACTGGTGATAATGTGTAGCCAAATGCAAAAAAGCACCCATCTTGTTATGGAGAAACACATTCGGTAAGCAGATCTTGGGGTTAGCTGTCCCAGGCCCCCCAACAGCTGCAGGAGATGGCCTTGCCAGTTGTTCTAGCCATCCTTGCTTCTGCTCAAAAATTACTTTCGCATGTACACCTCCATGTACTTCGGAAACATCCTCTTGTCAGCCTCTGTTGACTTTGCCTCCTTGGGCTTTGGATCTTGACTCCACATCTAGGCTTAGTCTCCTCGGATCCACCACCTAACCTTGGACTGTTGCAAAACTGCTTGCAGCCACCTCACCTGAACAGGAGGCAGAAAACCGCAGATCGCCAGATGGGTTCTGGAGCACCCCTCCCCATGGCCCCACGGCCCTAGCTGTCAGGAGCAAGGCCTCAGACATGCATGGCACTGGGGCTGGGCAAGTCTGAGACCTGAACAAAGACAAAGCAAGTCTGCCCTCAGTGAGAAGTGGCTCTAGAGTTCACTGAGCCAACCACCCATCCATCAGTTGTTTCTGCCTGCAATCCTGCTTTTCCTTAGGGGAACAACCACCCCCTTTCATAGGCCCATGGGTCAGTGAAGCTGACCAAACCAGATGGCCCGAGGTGGTCCTCTGTCTCAGGTCTAGCCAGTCAGATGTTCTGGATGCAGCCATTGGGTCAGAAATGGACACTTGATCCAGCCAGGGCAATAGAACTCTCTTGCAAGACTCATTATTGTAAGGGGTGCTTTCTCTCCATGGACAATGCTCCGTGGAAGACTATGTGAAATTTCATTTCAACCACACTTGAAATGGACATTTCAGCCACAGGAGCCGATAAGTTCCTAACTATGCCTAAACTAGTTTGAAATGGGATTTTCTATTTGCATTCAAAAGAGTCTGAACTAATAGGAAACCTATGACAATCTCCTCACTGAGTGCTGGTGCAGCCGATTTGTCGGCGAACTCACCACTCTTGCTGGCACCAGATCAAAAGCCTCTTTGTAAGTTCATCCTTTATTCCCACGGAGCTGTGGCAGGCAGAGGCATTCACCCAAATATTGTGTCTACATCGGTGGTTCTCAAACTCAACAGCTCATCAGAATCAGCTGGGAAACTTGAAAACTGGAGATTCCCGGGCCTCACCCTGGGTAGAATTCTGTAGAATTCTGATTTTACAGAATCAGAATTTCTGGGTATATTGTGTATGTGTATTTTTAAAAAGCTACGGAGATGATTTTAACCCCAAATTTAAGAGCTACTGATCCCCTGGGGTGCCTGGGTGGCTCAGTGGGTTAAAGCCTCTGCCTTCGGCTCAGGCCATGATCCTGGGGTCCTGGGATCAAGTCCCGCACTGGACTCTGCTTGGCAGGGTGCCTGCTTCCCTTCCTCTCTCTCTGCCTCTCTGCCTACTTGTGATCTCTGTCAAATAAATAAATAAAATCTTTTTTAAAAAAAGAGCTACTGGGACGCCTGGGTGGCTCAGTCGGTTAAGCAGCTGCCTTCAGCTCAGGTCATGATCCCAGCATCCTGGGATCGAGTCCCACATCGGGCTCCTTGCTTAGCAGGGAGCCTGCTTCTCCCTCTGCCTCTGCCTGCCACTCTGTCTGCCTGTGCTCACTCTCACTTCTCTCTCTCTGACAAATAAATAAATAAAATCTTAAAAAAAAAACTTAAAAAAAAGAGCTTTTGATCCCATAATGCCAAGTAATTATTCTATTAAATGTAATAAACTGGCCAGCTAAAATACAGCCATGTACACGTCTCCTACACGTTTGTGTCGTATTTTCTACAGATCTGGTCCTTAGGTTCAACAAGCAAACATGCATCATTCCTAAGGAAACAACAGCAGCTCGGTGGAAGAAAATTGGGAGTAGACGAAAATGAAGAAATGGATTTACCATGCAGCTAATAAACTTGCAGTTTCATGGCTCCTCGTGGGAAGCACCTGTATGTTCTTGTAAACGGCCATATGTTCTTGTAAAATTTATAGGATTTTAAAAAAATTAATGTGTGTAACCACACACGGCTGGGGCCAGTTTCTTTCCCACTACAGCTTCTCCTTAGTCATAGTTCTCCTTGTGTTGGGTTCTACAGGAGGAGACATGGCATTTTTGGATCATGACTAAGGAAGCTGATGGGGTTACATCTAGTTTTGGCTGAATGGGATATTTATGTGTTTCACAGACTCTTCTGTGTATACTTTAGTTATTTATAGCTGCCTCCCTACAGGAACAATTGTTAGTAATGGTTCTAACACCCACTCTCCCAACACAGCCCACCTTGATAAACGAAGGTAGAGGGTCTGATGTGACCCTCATAATATGCCCCAACATGAGGGGCCCCTGAAGACAAGCTGGTCCATGAGTGTTAACCATTCAGAAAGTATGTAAGATTAGCTTCTGCAACAACAAACCTCTGAAATGCCTTGAAATCCTACAGCTTGTGTGTGAAAGACACTTGAGAGAAGGTTTCTTAAAATTGATAACATTCCTAAAAAATGTATCAAGAGTAAGTGGTGAAGCCAAAAGAAATCTTTCCCCACTATCAGTCACAAAAAAAAAAAAGAAAAGAAAAGAAAAGAAAAGTCATTTCACTCAGGGCAACAAAGCAAAACAAAAACATCATTGCATCTGCCATGATGATTCACCACCAATACATTATTGGATTGATCCAATCCAAGGAAATTCTGATTTCTCTGTCTATTCTCTCTGTAGAAAGCTAGACAAAATCACCGTTGCAAGAATGGGCCATCAAGCATATGCAGACGAGGATTTTATTGAGTCGTCTATCAGATAGCTAAGTAGTAAATGTGTTTTTTCCTAAATTTGGAGATCTTCCCAGAGTTTATCAGGTCTAAGTGTTTTGTTGTTAGGGTGGTCATTTACATGATGATTCTGAGAGAATATTCAATGTCATGTCTGAGAGTTTGAATTATTTAAAAAGGGTCTCCAACGGGCGCCTGGGTGGCTCAGTTGGTTGGGTGACTGCCTTCGGCTCAGGTCATGATCCTGGAGTCCCAGGATCGAGTTCCACATCAGGCTCCCTGCTTGGTGGGGAGTCTGCTTCTCCCTCTGACCCTGCCCCCCTCTTGTGTTCTCTCTCTCTCTCAAATAAATCAATAAAATATTTTAAAAAAAAAAAGGGTCTCCAAGGGGTGCCTGGGTGCCTCGGTGGCTCAGTGGGTTAAAGCCTCTGCCTTCAGCTCGGGTCATGATCTCAGGGTCCTGGGATCGAGTCCCGCATCCAACTCTCTGCTCAGCGGGGAGCCTTCTTCCTCTTCTCTTTCTCTCTGCCTGCCTCTCTGCCTACTTGTAATCTCTGTCAAATAAATTAAAAAAAAAATTGTAAAATAAATAAATAAATAAATAATAAAAAGGCTCTCCAAAACTGTCTGAGCTGCAGGTCCACAGATGCTCCCTTGGTTGGAAGTGACCACCTCGCCCCTGTGTGCCAGCAGTGGATGTGATACCATCTCATGTATCTGCCCTCTACTGCTTTCTGAGTCTCCTGAAAACTAAATCTGCTGATTATTAAGTCAGCAAATGTGCCATTGATGGATTTAATGACTGGGTAGAAATGAGTCAGTAATGACTCTGAAGGAATCTGTGTGGCCAGACAGATAAATAATACATCATTTAAAGGTTTCTGAACTCTTAGTGTTTTAGAAGAAACCATTCCTTAAAAGAAATTAAGAAGGAGAATATATCATGGCCAGGGAGAGAAATATATAAACAACCAATATGATTAATCATGCTGAATGAAAGGTAATTTATTTTGCTCTTATTTTGCTGCACAGGAAATACTCCAAATCATTGTCATGTGAAGAGGTAATTAAGTAGATCCCATCTAACAGATCTCGTCTGGCCTGGCTCAACATAACTACAGAATCCATTCTCTCTTTTTCAGCAAGGGCATTGCTGCAAATAGGATGGTACACGGTTTCATGCACAGAGCATATGGAGGAAATGGTCCAGTTTCTTTATTACAAACACGCCCAGGTTTCCATGCATGCCGACTGTCACCCCCAGGTTTAGCTCCTTACAGGCATGAAGGGAGAAATCCGTCCTGTGCTGACTGATGTGCCCCCGTATCCTATGCATCTCATTTCCTGCACCACTCTGAACAAACTCAGTATTTACAATGCAGCATTTAAAAACTGTTCATCTACGGGCACCTGGGTGGCTCAGTTGGTTAAACATCTGCCTTCAGCCCAGGTCATGATCCCAGGGCCTGGGATAGAAACCCATGTTGGGCTTCCTGCTCAGCGGGGAGCCTGCTTCTCCCTCTCCCTGTTGTCCTCCGCACTGCTTGTGCTCTCTCTCACTCTCACACTCTCTCTCAAATAAATAAATAAAATCTTTTTAAAAAAATAAATAAAATAAATAAACACTGTTCATTTAAATTCTCTGCTCTAAGTGCCTTTAGTCATACCTTAGATTCATGGAACATTAACAAATTTTACTAAAACAACAACAACAAAAAACTGTAGCCATAACAGTTTAGTAAACACTGATTTATACAAAACTGAACTGATTTCTTTATATATCTGCAGCAGGACTTCTCAGAGATTTTAACAGTGAATCTCTAAGTGCAGATTACAAAAGAATGCAGTTTGCAATGCTTCCCAAATTACTTGATCATAAAATGTTTTTTTTAAGAACCAGTATTCCAGGGACCATAACTTTGGGACATGCTGCTTTGGACTAAAATAAAATGACATAATGGACTATAAATGCTTTATACAACATAAAAGCTAAACAAATTATATGATACCGTGGCGATCACTATTATTATCGTTATTACTAAAATTACTATGCTCTTGGGGTGCCTAGGTGGCACAGTTGGTTAAGTGCCCAACTCTTGGTTTCGGCTCAGGTTGTGATCTCAGGGTCATGAGATCGAGTCCTGCATGTCAGGCTCTACTCAGCACAGAGTCTGCTTGAGATTTCTTTCTTCCTCTTCTTCTGCCCAATCCCCACCACTGCTCACTTGTGCGCACTCTCTCTCTCTCAAATAAAATAAATAAAATCTTAAGAAAGAAAAAAAGATTACTGCTTAAAGGAAACAAATGATTCTCTCTTCCCTTTCTCCTAAGGGCCATTTAATCTGTAGAGATTGGAAAGAGAGACAAACTAAGACAAATATATTTACTGGCATAATTTTCTGCTGTGATAGTTTTATTTTACAAAGAGGTTGAGAAAATTATACATGCTTCTAGCTATCAAGCTTCTGTCTGCTGCCTTAGTAGCTTTCATTACTTTTTTGAGATTCTTCACTGCATTTATTAAAGAACAGTGACTGTCTGGGCAATCTCTATCAAAATTCCCAGTGGCATTTTTTTGAAGACATAGGAAAATTCATCCTAATGGATGGAATCTTAAGGAATCCTGAATAGCGAAAACAATTTTGAAAAAGAAGAAGAAAACTGGAGGACCCACAATTTCTGATTAAAAAAAAAAAATTATATATATATATATATATATATATATATATATAAAATCATAGGCATGCACGGGGAACTCTTGATCTCAGATTAGTTCTTGATCTCATGGTCATGAGTTCAAGCCCTGTGTTGGGTTCCATGCTGGAGTTTATTTATTTTACTTAAATAAAAAAATTAAAAAATTACAGAGCTACAGTAATCAAAGCAGCGGTACTGGCATTAAGACACATGAATAGACAAACGCAATAGAATATGGATCTCAGAGGGGTACGTTGGTGGTTCAGAAGGTTAAGTGTCTGTCTTCAGCTCAGGTCATGATCTCAGGTTCCTGGGATCAAGCCCCACATCGGGCTTAGCAGGGAGTCTGCCTTTCCCTCTTCCTCTGCACCTCCCCACTGCTCACGCTCTCTCTCTCTCTAATAAAGTAAATTAAATCTTAAAAAAAAAAAAAAGAACATAGAGCTCAGACATGAATCCTCAGAGATACAGCCAAATGACCTTTGACAAGGGCGACAAGATCAACCGAGGGGGAAAAGACAGTTTCTTCAACAAATGGTGTTAGAAAAATGGATGTGCCCATACAAAAGAATAAAGTTGGACCTTATCTTGCACCCTATACAACAATTAAATAAAAATGGATTAAATCCCTAAACATAAGACCTAAAACTATAAAACTCCTAGAAGAAAATAAAGGAAGAAATCTTCATGACATTGGATGTCACAAGGATTTCTTGGATATCACACCAAAAGCACAAACAACAAAAGCAAAATAGACAGAGACGATATCAAACTGAGAATGTGCATCAAAGGACACATCAATAGAATGAAAAGACAACCTATAAAATGGTAGAAAATATCTTCAAATCATTTACCTGAGAAGTGATTTATATCCAAAGTATATAAAGAATGCCCCGGGGCACTTGGGTGGCTCAGTCAGTTAAGCATCCAACTCTTGATTTTAATCTTGACCTCAGGGTTGTGCGTTGAGCCCCAGGTTGGGCTCCACATTGGGTATGGAGCCTACTTAAAAAAGTAAATAAATCTGTAAAAAGAAACAATAAAAAAAGAACACCCACAACTCAACAACAGGAATCAACCAATTAAAAAATTGGTGAGAGACGTGATCAGACATTTCTCCAAAAATGACAGTATAAAAATGGTCAACTAGAATTTGAAAAGATGCTCAACATCACTAATATTCAGAGAAATGCAAATCAAAACAATAAGATATCATTTTATACCCATTAAGATGAAAGAAAAAAAATACCAGAAAATAACAAGTGTTAGTGAGGGTGTGGGGAAATTGGAACCCTTGTGTATTGCTCGGGGTTGGAAGTGGGGGGGGACTATAAAATGGTATAACTGCTATGGAACAGAAATTAAACTAAAAGAGAACTACCAGGGCGCTTGGGTGGCTCAGTGGGTTAAAGCCTCTGCCTTCAGCTCAGGTCATGATCCCAGGGTCATGGAATCCAGCCCTGAATCGGGCTCTCTGCTCAGAGCGGAGCCTGCTTTCCCCTCTCTCTGTCTCTGCATGCCTCTCTGTCTCCTTGTGATCTCTGTCAAATGAATAAGTAAAATCTTTAAAAGAAAAAAAAAAAAAGAACTACCATATGAGCTGCCATCCCATTTCTGGTTTATATCTAATAGAATGGAAAGCAGGATCTTGAAGAGATATTTGCATATCCATGTTCATATCAGCACTATTTACAACAGCCAAGATGTGGAAACAACCTAAATATCCATTGACAGATGAACAGATACACAAAATGTGATACATTAGGACACCTGAGTGGCTCAGTTGCTTAAGTGGCTGCCTTCGGCTCATGATCCCAGGATCTTGGGATCAAGTCCTGCATGGGGCTCCTTGCTAAGCAGGGAGTCTGCTTCTCCTTCTGCCTGCTGCTCCCCCTGCTTATGCTCTCTGACAAATAAAGAAATAAAATCTTTAAAAACAAAAACCAAAAATGTGGTAAATACATACCATGGATTGTTAGTCAACCTTAAAAGGGAAAGAAATCCTGTCTATGCTACAACATGGATGAACCCGGAGGCTGTTAATGCTAAGTGAAATAGGCCAGTCACTGAAATACAAATGCTGTATGATTCCACTCGTATGAGGTATCTAAAGTAGTTAAATTCAGGGGTGCCTGGGTGGCTCAGTTAAGCATCTGCCTTTGAGTCAGGCCATGATCCCAGGATCCTGGGATCAAGCCCCACATCAGGCTCCTTCCTCAGTGGGAAGCCTGCTTCTCCCTCTCTCCCCCTGCTTGTGTTCCCTCTCTCACAGACCTGTGTCTGTTGAATAAATAAAATCTTTTTTTAAAAAATAAAGTAGTTAAATTCATAGAAATTGCAATTTCTATGGTCTATGGTCTGGGGGAAGGGGGCAGATGGGAGGTTGTCTGTCTAATGGGTACAAAGTTTCAGTTTTGCAAGATTAAAAAGTTCTGGAGATCTGTTTCACAGCAATGTGCATATTAAACTTAATTTAAATTAAATTAATTTACATACAAGGTACTATTAGTTTCAGAGGTAAAGTTCAGTGATTAATCAGCCTTATATAACACCCAATGCTCATCCCATCATGTGCTCTCCTTAATGCCCATCACCCAGTTACCCCATCCTCCCACCCACCTCCCCTCCAGCAACCCTCAGTTTGTCTCCTATAGTCAAGAGTCTCTTATGGTTTGTCTCTTATGATTTCATCTTATTTTTCCCTCCCTTTCCCTTTGATCCTCTGTTTTATTTCTTAAATTCCACATGTTTTCATTTGAAATTCCCTTTCCTTTCAAATTTTGCAGCTAGAGATTAAACTCATCAAGCAACTGCTTGGTCATCCACGGTCTGGGAAGCCTTTCGCTACCCAGGACTCTGCAAAGCATTTAATAGACTAGAGTCTCAGAAGCTGGGCCATCTCCTTAACACCCACAGTCCATGAGCATCCACAATCCTTCTCCTTAAGTGAAGGTATGCTTAGATATTGTATGTACAGACTCATACCATCTTTGGCCTTTATTGTCCCTAGAGGTCAAGACAATCTCTAGTGTCAGGCTGGGAACCCCAGTGTCTTATATTTTCCCACATTTGAGCAGCCTTCAGAGTCTTGGGAGTCACTGCAGTGACAGAAGCATTGGCACAGACACTGGCCAGAAATGCAATACAATTGGCAACTTCCTTTTCTCGTGTATGGCATCCAAGAAGCTGCTTATCTTTTTATCAAAAATACTGCACCTGATTTTTGCCTCTAAAAGAGAAGGTTCATAGCTCAAGGAGAAAGAGCTTTTCTAGCTTTGAAAAACATTTTCTACCTAATTATTTTTATAGCATCTAATCAAAGGGCAGACTTAACATGAGAGGAAATTTTTTTCTCCACCAATCATACAGATATGATTAAAAGGGCCAGGCTGCAGAAAGGCCTTTTGGAGAAACGTACATTGAATGAATGTCCAGTTAATTTTGCCTGTGTCATGTGAAGGATACCAAATGATCGGGGCGTGAAGAAGCTGGACTAGAAGTGAGCCTGCAGCTGGCTGGCACATGAGGCACGATCTCTTGAATGGCTTCCAGAGATGAAGGTGGGGCACTTTTAGCCTCAAAGACTTTCTGAGGTGAGGAGAGGCCCCGCCCCCAAGACCTGCATGTCTCGAAATCTTCGAAAAGACCTGAATAACAAAGAGCTTCTCAGACCATGTGTGGTCATGCATAGGAAGCTCTAGTCTTTCCATTCTACTCATATAGCACTCATCGATAACCTCCAACACATTCTCTCCGTCTCTCTTGCTCCACTCATTCTGAGTTTTGAAGCAATGACTCAGAGATATCTGGAATGATAAGGGTAGGGGTCTGGGCTCCGGTGGTGCCTGAGCAGCATGCAGAAGACAGGAGAGAAGAACCCGTAGGGCTTACGCTGGGTGGTGAGCTCAGGAAGGCTTGGTTTGACACCGGGGTCCCGACCCCTCCCTTAGGTCTTCCGTGATTTCTTGAAGAAGGCTGAGGGAAGAGTCAAGAAGAAATAATGAATGAAAGAGCGAATTCAAGATGATTTTCTTAAAACCAAAGTGCTAGTGAGACCTTCAAATATGTGAGCCGTATTAGGGCTCTTTTAATAAGAATGCTGCCAATTTTGAGTCTGTCTCTAAGACTAACAACTGATAGGAACATTTTCAAACATTACAAAAGAAAGTAGTATAACGAACACCTAAATTCCTATCACCCAACTTCAAGAATTTTTATACATGGTGACAACCATGTATTTCTTCTATTCTCCCACTTTAAAAAAAAAATATGTTATTTATTTATTTATCTCAGAGAAAGAGAGAGAGAGAAAGCAAGGAGAGGAGCAGAAGGAGAGGGACAAGCGGAGCCATACTGACCATGGAGCCCCACACGGGACTTGATCCCATGATCCTGAGATCATGACTTTAACCAAAATCAAGAGTTGGATGCTTAAACCACTGAGCCACCCAGGCGCCCCCTCCCACTTTTAAATTTATTTATCTATATATTTATTTTTGCTGGAGTATATTAAAGCAAATGCAAGACATCACACTCCCCCTACAATACTTCATTAGAGAAGATAAGGAAGTGTTTCATAATCCCACTGCTATTATTATACCAAACAAAATCAATAATAATCCCCTCATACTACCTAATAACAAGTTCTGAGGCTCCACTTCACCTGTCTGGGTTCATTGGCCCAAATGAGGGAGCCAGGACACATTCGTCTGACACCTTAGCCTCTTGTCCCTTCTCCCTGCAGACCCCTCCCAGGCTAGCCTTACCTGAGCTCCTCATGAGGCCTCTTTCCCAAGGTGGTACTGACCCCACCCACTTCCTTAGAGCCAGAAGGGCAAAGCAGTTCATGGGAACGTGTGTGTGTATGCACGCACATGCATATGAACATTGAAAAATAAACTGGTTTTAGTTTAATACATTTATGTTATTCTACATTATCCAGTTAACCTGTGTTTTCCTCAGGTTATTTTCACAGTGCCACATAAACGGTGGACCACAGTTAAAACAAATAAAGGGAAATGAAGTATCTTCTCCAGTGGCAGGTGCAATATTATATGCTCCTGATTTATAAGCCCTCCTCAATTTTTTTTGAAAAACAGCAAAAGAACCAACTTAATTTTGCCAATAATTCAGTCACTTCTTTTTCGGTTTACAAATCACCTTTTTGAGGTAATAACTCTGTCAGTTCAGGACTCTGGCCTTCTCTCTCCTTTTACTCTGGACAACATCTGGGGCCAAGGAGGGCAGAGGCAGGAGGTAGAGAGGAGCAAGTGGGTCCTTGCTGGCCTCTCCTCAGGAGACCATCATCCCATCTTGGTCCCTGGTGCATCTGAGGCTCTATTGCTGGGGCTTCCTCTCTCAGGTCCATCTGCCTCTTCCCTCTCTCAACCACAATCTCCCTTTGGACTGTCTCAGACACATCTGCTCCCCACTCAGGCTCAGGAAGTTGTGTGTGCTCTCCTGGAGTGCCCTGGGGCATCAGGCGACTTGAAACTGGGGGGTAGAGTGAGCTGTGTCTAATTCTCTCCACATGGAACTGCCCCTGCCCCACTGTGACAATATACTTTGGGGATTGGGGGTACAGCTTCTCTTAGGGGCTTGGAATCCTCCCAGGAAATGCTCTAAAAGTGAGAAATAAACATACACATCCTGAAATCCCCTAAAATATATCTATGGGTTACTACTACCCCCACTCCAGTTTTTAGTTCAAGAGGGGTTCAACAAGAAAAGCCTTTGCAAATGTGTCTGAACATTCTTTTTCTGCTCTCCCTTCTTTTCAAAGCTTTTCCCCATATCTTAACCGGAATTCTTCCAGAAGTGAACCAGGAAATAAGATAAGAGTGTGATCCCAAGAGAACACCAATAAGAGGGGTAAGAACAGGAAGCAGG